TGGGAGAAAGGCCAGTTCCCGGGAAAAGGCCAGTTCCCACCACACAGAAAGCAGCCTTGTATTTCTTTTTTGTGCTGGTGGCTGTAGGTCAATGGAGCGGCCAAACATGGCTGTACTCATGTCAAGACAAGGACCTTCAACGACAATGGTTTCCTACTGGTGCTGCCAAGTGAGTTATTCTATAAGGCCCAGAACTTCTCAGGCCTTGGAGAATACATAAGCGCACACTACAAGTTGTAACACCTGATTGTACAAGAAGGGCAGTTATGAGAAAAAACAGGTAAATATCCATTCTACATTATTAGCAACAAGTTACACAACCAGTAAACAAAAAGAATCCAGGAACTATTAAAAAAAAAAATCAGTGGGGGCCGGCCTGGTGGCGCAAGCAGTTAAGTGCGCACACTCCGCTGCGGCGGCCCAGGGTTCGCCGGTTCAGATCCTGGGTGCGCACCGATGCACTGCTTGGCAAGCCATGCTGTGGCGGCGTCCCATATAAAGTGGAGGAAGATGTTCACAGATGTTAGCCCAGGGCCAGTCTTCCTCAGCAAAAAAAAAAAAAAAAAAAAAGAGGATTGGCAGATGTTAGCACAGGGCTGATCTCCTCACCAAAAAAAAAAAAAGTCAGTGGACTATCATGTCTGTAAGGCTTACTACACAAAAACAGGAATCATGGGACAACCACAAAATACATTAGTATACAAGCAGAATAGAAGACGACGTTGCTGAGGATCAACTAATGTAGGAAAGGAGATCCTAAAGCATCAACTTAAAAGAGCCCGCATTTGCTGTTGGTATTTGTTGCTGTACTCAGTAACTTCTAAATCAGAAACTTCATTTCAGATGTGTCATATCCAACGTTTTTTAGAACGTATCAGGCCAATATGTTCACTATTGATTAATATCAATCCCTAATATCATCTTTGCTTTTTTTCTCTTCATGTTGAATAGATCACCTGAAGCTATCAATCTAAACACTCATTTTCACTACAAAATTTATTTCTGGCACAAGTTCTAAAACAAGACATTTATCTAAATTTTAAAAGTTAGTTCTAGACTTTAACTTCATCCAAGAAAAAAGTTTGCCAAAATAACTTTTACTTACTAAAAAAAAACGCTCAGTAGTGAAAGAAACTCTTAAATTTAGGTCGATTGGACTAATAAAGCACTTTCCAATTTCTTGTTCATCTAACATTTATTGGAGCAACACAAGGAGTTGTTATTAGAAATATAAAAATGAGTAACACATGAGCCCCACTCAAGAAAAAAGTTAGCTTTAAAAATTCTAGTCTGTCTCTCACATATCACAATAACGAACATTTCATTTCTAATACTTTTTGTAAAGGTCTTACTACTGTATCTGTTCCTCCTCTTTAACGTAAATAAGACCGAGTTTTTAACCACACACAATCAATTTATGAAGTAGCTCTCACATCCTCCTGGCTTATCACTTCTAATCTTATCTATACCAATAATTACCATTTAAAATTTCATCCAGACATAGGAATACATTTTTATGCTTCTGATTGCCAAAAAGCAAAGACTGGCTATCTAGTATACACTTCTGGTAGATGTATATAGGAAGTTAATTTTCTAAAGAGAGCTCTTTGCTGACATTGATCTGTTTAGGCCATGTTTATCCCGAAATCACAGATGAAAGCAAGAACAAATGATAAACAACATAGCCAACCACACTGCCCTCTCTTTTTTACACAAATCAAAATTCGACCACTGCTTAACCTTTAAAACTTCATTTAGGGGTTGCCCGGTGGTGCAAGCAGTTAAGTGCATGCACTCCGATTCGGAGGCCCAGTGTTCGACGGTTCGGATCCCAGGCACACACCGACACACCGCTTGTCAGGCCATGCTGCGGTAGCGTCCCATATAAAGTGGAGTAAGATGGGCACGGATGTTAGCCCAGGGCTGGTCTACCTCAACAACAACAACAAAAAAGGAGGACTGGCATCAGATGTTAGCTCAGGGCTGATCTTCCTCATAACAACAAAAAAAACACTTCATTTATCTTCTATTCCCAATTCAGAAGGAAAAAAGGGCATTAGTGGCTTTGAGAATTATAGATAAAAAACATCCTGAGTTCACAACTGAAGCAAACCTACTAAAAATTTCCCTAAGCTGAAAGAGCTACAACAAGAAACAATAAAGATAAATCTCACAATGTTAAGCAAAAGAAACCAACACAAAAGAGTTTATACTGTATGATTCCAATTATGTAAAGTATAAAAGAGGCAAAACTACTCCATTCTGTCAGAAGTCAGGATAGTGTTTACCGTGGGGAGTGGCAGGGACTGGAAAGGCATGAGGAGACCTTCTGGGGTGCAAGTTAATGCAATTTCTTGATTTGGGCACTGCTTACATGGGTGCCTTTGGGTTTTGAAAACCCATTGAAACGTACATCTAGAGTATGCATTTCTCTGAGTGTATGTTACACTTCAATAAAAACTCTTTTAAAAACTTTCCATAAACTTTTAATTATCATACAAATGCCAAGTGGGCCCTTCGCTTGTGGTGGAAAGATCAGACTGGCCTTTGCAGTCAGAGGACCTGCTGGAGTCCCAAGTCTTCTGCGATCTTCAATAAAGCACTTAGAATCTCCGAGCTGTCTTTCCAGCCATCACATCACAGGACTGGTATGAGAATTCAGGTCATTTATTCAACGAGAATTTATCGTGTGTCCACCAGCGCCTTCTCGGTGATGGGGTTCAGAGTAGGGAACAAAGACAAGCCCAGCACTCGCACTGTCCCTGTGCTAGTCCGTGGAGACGAACAATACACCAAGAAATGAAACACACAGCATCTCCTATGGTGACAGGTGCTACAGAGAAGAACTAAGCAGCAAAGGGGAGTGGGGCGGTTGCAATGGCAAGGAGGGAGGTCACGGAAGGCCTCACTAAACAGCGACATTTAAGCAAAGACCTGAAGTAGGTGAGGGAGGCAACAGCAGAGGAAGTGTATTCTAGAAGAGAGATTACATAACTTATGGTATCTGAAAATACACAAAGGCTCCTGCGAATCAGGTTTTAAAGAAAATGACAGATCACACTAGAAGATGGAGCATTAACAAACTGCGTCCAATCCAAGCGCCAAGACGTCCGGAAAGTGAAAAACGTGGCTCTCGGCGCGGTTACTCGCGCTCCCATCGTAACTAAGTCACGTTGCACACAGCGGCGTCGCTAAGGGAACGTCCGCGACTGGGCAGTGAAAAGGTGAAACCGACGGTCTCCGTAGTGACACGTGCCGTCTCGTCGCGAACGCCTGCGCCGGCGGCGCCAGCCGACCACTAAACGCGAACGCACTCCGCGCTCTGCCCCGCGCACCGAAGGGCCTCGGGACGTTCCGAAACCAGCCCAGAAACAGGGGGCGCCGTCCGTCCACGCCGACGGCGGCAGAGGCCCGGAACGCTGCCTCCTGCCCCGAGTCTTCGCGCCTCCCTCCCGCTCAGTCGCGCACACGCGCCACGCGGCGGC